TGCCAGCATCGCAGGTGGCGGCTTTACCCGCTACGCCACAGCGCCGGCCCCTCAATGATATTCTTAAAGCTTACACATTATACATATCCTTTTGAATCATAATACAAAATAAATGTCTTCAATTTTAAATTTAGTCTCCTTCCTATTTCTGTCCCGAAATCTACTCAGTTTACCTCCTGGGGTTAAGCAGATCCAAGAGACCGAGTTTCTCCCGACCCCTCCCAAAGAAAGCAACGGCCCCCAGCCCTGGCTCCCCTTCCACGCCACCGCTCGTCCCCGACTGTGTGCACAAAGAACTTCCTCCAGCCCCACAGCGCGGTGTGAACCTCACCCTCTGCCATTTCAGACGATGCCTGAAGAGTGAGCAGCTCATCTGCACCTCGGCCCCACTGCGCCGGGAGCCAGCGCGGACCCGGAGCCCAGAGAGGAGCAGCCGACGTGGCCAAGGGCTGCGCCCTGGAGGGCACAAGTGACACTCGGACTCTGCCATCACCATGATCTGGGGAACGAGGCGGGCAGCTGGACAGGGTGCCAGAGTTTGTGCTAACCCTGCACTGCGACTTTATCCCTCTCACCCATCAGCTTCGACACGCCCACCTTCCCAGGCTGCACCTGTCTCAGCTGGGACCGGGCAGGAGAGGACGCCATGACGACCACGTGGAAGTCAAATCCCAGACAGCACCACACTCCTGCCTCATAAAGGAGACTGGCGGTGGGGCAGGGGCTCCACTGCCCTGACCGGGCTTCCTTGCTGAGGCACCGCTCCGTGTCGGGGGGCCACACTCACACCTGAACTGCTGTCCACTCTGCCTTTAGCATGCCCCACTCTCACTTCTGCACTGCGTGAGGCCTCCACTTTGCTAGCAGGAAGCTAGAAATGCACCCACGGGTGAGAGGGGCAGGGAGCCAGCAACTGCAGACGTCCCCTTCGGAAGCAGCCCCGTGTTTACACTGCGCTGCCCTGCCCAGACCCTGGGAACTTTCCAGGCAGTCTCAGCCCTTCCCCGAAGGGAAGCTCCCAGGAGGGTGCCCCCCC